CTGATTCCATTCCCTATCCAGGATACGTAGGCACAAGATGCGACGTCTTGCCGAGTAAACTTAGGACTAACCCTTAGGTCTTTTAGGTCACTTTGATCCCTTAGCTCAATATATATTAAAGCAGATAATGAATAAAAGTAAAAAAACATACAATAAACAATAGGTTCCTGTAGAGTACTACAGAAGTTTAGGATGCTAGTACCTTCCCTAAACTTAACCAACCCCTTACCTAGGTCTCTCCCCGCATTGTGTTTACGATGCAAAATTAGGTTTTTCTCTTTTGACCTTTTCCTTCGGATAAATCAAAGAGCGGCTGTGAATCAAGAATTGTGATTCAAACTAATTAATAGTTTGATATCCTATTTCCACCGCAACAAGTATCCTTTAGCATTTAGTAGTGAGAAGAGAAGAATTAAGTTTAGCTAACATCCATCACAACCCGAATTAAGAGGTTCCCGTCGAGTACGACGGACGTGAAGGGTGCTAATACCTTCCCCTCGCGTAACCGACTCCCGAACCCAGGAATATGGTTGCGACGACCGTGTTCCTTCCACGTTTATGAGGTTTTCTCGATATTTTCCTCTCCCGTTCATTCGGGAAAAATAAAGTTCGGTGGCGACTCTGTCGAACTGCAATTTCCGCGCCTTTTGCGCGAGGGTCGTATGTTCGAAATGAATTTTCGAGGTGCGACACAAGGGTCACAACCTTGTGAAACAACACAAACATAACCTATAAATAAATTATTTCGAATTTACAAATCAGATCACAAAACACATATCCTCTTTAGAAAATTTCCAGATTTTCTTCCCTACATTCAAGTTTTCACCCGTCTTGTCCAAAATCAAGTATAGGCTGAACTATCCTGGATATTCCTGCATAGAAACTCTAAAACATTCGAGAGTGCTTGAAATACTATAAAGAAAGTGACCCGTTCACGATTCTAGCCTGGATCCATTTAATCTATAAGCTTCATCTAACAATATTTTTGTTTAAAACATAGCTACCAGAAGCCACTGTTCATTTACATAACTCGATCTACCTTTTTAGATTGAAAAGACAATTATATATAACTACCTTTTGTTCAACTGATTATGATCTCTTAAGTTTTAGGGTTTGTTTTTTGATAAGCAGTGAACACTTGAAAGATATCTCACCACAAGAGTGGTTTATAATACTTTTAGTTACACTTGTTTTACTTCATTTAATTCAAAAATATTTGTCTTGATTAAATCATCAATGAAACTTATTTTTGTAAATCTTATTCAACTGGTCATATACAATAACAGACATGGAAATACCATTTCCAATAAGAATCCAAAACATAAAATATACGGAGACGGGGGACATGTTCATATGATACATGCATAAAGTTCAAATACATAACCTATTTGAGTCATAGTCAAGAAGAAAAATGTTGCATAACCACAAAAAAGCAAGGTATGTCCCCTTCTACATAGGATGAAGAAAGCTCATAAATAATCCACCAATAAGAGACGATCCAAAAAAATCCAAAAACTCTATTCTAATTCATAAAATAGACCTAAGTTAAAAAAAACAATTTTAAAATTAAAAATGATGCACCAAAAATTTAATTATATACTAAGCAAATGAAACAAAAAAAAATAGCGGCGTTTCATTTTTTGATTCTTTTGACAAAAGCACAAAATAAATGAAAGAACAAGGGACAAGAGTGTGCCATTTCGTTTTTGAATGGATGCCCAAAATATATGTTTTTGATGATCTGTGTTTTTTTTCCTGTCCAATAAAAAAATTGGGCCCTTAAAAATTTGGTGCTCGATGTTGTAGGCTGGTTGCACATGTGCAAGACCGGGTCTGCCACCAATAATATCCAGGCGATCACTCTTCTAACATAGCCATTGACAAATCAAATAGTCCCTTAAAGCAGTTCACCCCCCATCCAAGGTCATAGCTTAAAAAGAGGGGCGGAAAAAGAACATGCAATGGTCAGGAAAACTCTTATTAAAGAGACACGTAAAAGATGAAAACTCGGGAACATGATACATAAAAAAGACGAACACACAAATAGAAAACAGTTTGCACGACAAAAGAATAGTCATATCTTCTCCAAAGAAGGTAAGGTCCTCACATCAGTACAAATGAGATATTACAAAACAAAGGCCAGGTACAAAAACCATGATTGTTCATGAAATATCTAGAAAAATAATCATAAAGATCTGGTTAAAAACATCTAATGCTTGAAGGACCGGTTGAGACACCCAAATCTAAAAAATATCCCTATTATTGAATTTTTCCATCTTTGACATTCGTAAAAATGTTCATGTCGACCATCTCTAGAAGCACCCCAGTCGAGATTCAAATTCTAAACTTTAGCAACAACATTTTTAAAACACAGTGGGCCGAAGACAATGATGTTCACTTCATTTTTCAGCATATAACATTGACATCCTAACACTTTCCACATTAATATATTCTTTTTAGCTTCTCGAAGCTCATCATCATGAAGTTTCCTAAGCTTGAGAATCTTCATAGTAAGAGATGAAACCTTCTCTTCGGCTTCTCGCCATTGAATTTCAACCATCCTAGCATGTCTTAAGAAGATCATCCCCATTGAATCTGCCATGTTCTTTTCCTCATCCATAAAGGATACTTGGATTTTCACATCATGTGAGTTCTTTACTTCTTTTTTGCATACCTCATATTGCTCGATCACCGCCACCAGAACCTCCTAGCATTGTTTTAACTTGTTCCCCATCTCAAGCAACCTAGCTTGTAATTTTTCCTTCCATATTATTGTAAGGCGATAATTCTCACAAGCTTGGTTTAGTTCTTCTTTAAGTAGTTCCTTGTTGGCAGATGGTCCACCCTCTAAATCCACTGCAGTGCAATATGTTTTATAAGATGGGCCACATATAGAATACATTCCGCTATGGTTACATAACATCATAAAAGATCTAGATCAACCACTTAATTGGGTTTAGTATTGGCCACTAAGAAGCGCAAATCCTAAGGAGTTGAAGTAAGAACTTGTGGCATTTGATAACCCAATTTTTTTTATATATTTAAGCATTTAATACTTGCATGGTTTTTGCTTAAAAAGTATGGAGCATACCAGGTGTTCTCTTTTGTTATTTTGATGTATTTTTATGTATGTGCAGGAGTAAAGTCATTGAGTTGTGTTAAGAATTTATTACCAATATTCAGTATGCCTTGGGCCAGAATATGTTGATAGAGTTTTGAATCTCAACGTTAAGGCTGACGCGATAAAGTTTTAAGGAAGGAAACTAGTGCTGAGTTGTAAAGATAAAATGATAAGAATGAGCACTAGAGGTCAAAGTTTGAAGATAGTGTTTGGAGCGTTGCAATAGCCACTCTACACAATAGGTCTGCTATGAGACATGTTGTCTCTTGCATGTGGTGTGTCCTACTCTCAGTACTTGAATTAAAGAATAAGAAAAGGGACTATGCTTTATTCCTTTCCTGGGATCTAATCAATAGATAACAAAAAAGGTCCAATATCTAAAGTCTAAAGGTAACCTTACAAATGAATGAGACTATAAAAAGACATGTAATGGAAAATGGAATGAGGTTTAGAAGTAGAAAGTACTTAGAGAAAAATAGTTCATCATAAAGAAGGAAGACTAAAATAGATTCTGACACACCTCTCGCCCTATCATTATTGAATAATCTACTCAATCAGGTGTCACACAACTCGCCTCTTGTTGTTGAAGACTAAGTTAATGACAGCATAGTAGATGCACATGGACCTAGGCATGACAACAGGGCAGTTCGGAGATGATTTTTACCTCCCCTAAATCCAAATTCGAATCCCTAAACATTTATGGTTCCCCGCTCTAAACTCCAACGGGCCAACGGGAATGAAGAATTAAAACTCAAACCCGTCCTAAACAGGTTTAGGTATCCCCGCCCCGCCACCTTCCATTTAGTAAAATCAATTTTTTTAAGAGAAATATTTATTTTTTTCCAAAATCAAATTACATTACAAATAATAAAATAAAACAATCTCAAAAAATTCTATACACACATTTTACCTATTTTAAATAATTAATACAAATTAAAATATCAAAACTTCACCATATAATTAATATTTTAAATTATCAAAACTAAATAATAACATAAATAATAAAATAAACGGGACAAATTCGGAATAAATACTAATTTTCTTATTATTGGACCCATCTCTATATTTTTAATTGAAAAAAAATCAAACCCAAACTAAATCTAATAAAAGTAGATTTTGGATTTTTTTTTTAAAATAACCATATATTAAATTTAAATTACCACAATAATCAATAATTCAAAAAAATTTTCAAAATGACAAACATTTCCAGCCAATTCGCCATTTGGATTGGCGAAAGAGAAGAAATGGAAAATGAGTTTCAGCCAATTCGCCGTTTGGATTGGCGAATTAGCTCATCATTTCCAACCAATTCGCCGTTTGGATTGGCGAATTAGTTCATCCTTTCCAACCAATTCGCCGTTTGGATTGGCGAATTAGTTCATCCTTTCCAACCAATTCGCCGTTTGGATTGACCAATTCGCCGTTTGGATTGGCAAATGCGTTTGGCTTCAGTTGAAACATTGTTAGTTTGAGAATTTGTTTGAAAACAAGGTTTAAATGATAATTAAATTATAAAAAGTTGTTATTTTAAAAAAAAATTCTAGATTTTGTTCAAATGAATACCCACATGTACAGATTATATTGGCCATGCTTATGTGGACCTTTATGCTTTTGCCATGTTAATTGAGTGTTTTATCCCAATTCTTTTAGTGGGTAGATAAAAATAAAAATAAATAAAAAATTGTCTTGCAGAACGCACAGTAGAAAAATGGTGTGTAACAGTGTAAGGTTGACTCCAAGGAAAAAAATACCGGGAGAAAGCCCTCACGGACTGAGGAAACACAATATCTCAGTGCATGCATTTCACCGCATGGGAAGCGCGAGAATCATAATTCATCATCTTCTTTAACTCGTTCTGAGCTAACATTGTAGATAAGTGATGGCCTGTGATAACCAAGAATCAACCCCTTCGAGCTTCAATCTCAGCAACAGTAGTTCCGATCCCCGGGCAACTCACGCTCGCGTCCTCAAATCCACCGTCACCGACATTGCAGCATTCAACAACCTCATAACGCAATATTTCAAATGCAACCTCTCATCCTATGCTCTCTCCCTCTTCAACCGAATCCCTTCTCCTAACGTTGTCACATGGACCGCACTCATCACCGCACATTCCAACACTCTCCTTTCCCTCCACCATTTCCTCTCCATGCTTCGCCATTCCACCCTCCCTAACCACCGCACCGTCGCCTCTCTCTTCGCCACCTGTGCCTCTCTTTCTTCCATCTCGTTTGGTCTTTCCCTACATTCTCTCTCCCTCAAGCTAGCTCTATCTCACCATCCTTTTCCCGCGTCATCTCTCCTTACTTTTTACTCCAAGTGCCGACTTCCCAGCGACGCACTCAAAGTGTTCGACGAAACTCCCCACAGAGATAATGTTTCTTACTCCGCTATCATTGTTGCTCTAGCTCAGAATTTTCGTTTTTCAGACGCTATTTTTCACTTTGCTGACATGAGATGTCAGGGTTTTGATTCTACTGTCCATAGTGTTTCTGGGGCTCTGCGTGCTGCTGCTCAGCTTGCTGCACTGGAGCAGTGTAGGATTATTCATGCGCATGCTGTTGTTGCTGGCCTTGATTTGAATGTCGTGGTTGGCACTTCTCTTGTTGATGGGTATGGTAAAACGGGTCTTGTGATCGATGCAAGACAGGTTTTTGAGGATAATATATATTGTATGAATGTTGTGGGTTGGAATGCAATGTTGGCTGGTTATGCACAACAAGGGGATTGTCAATCTACTCTTGAGTTGTTTCATTCTATGAAAACATACGGATTTGTGCCTGATGAGTATAGTTTTTTGGCAATTCTAACGTCACTTTATAATGCTGGGATGTTTATGCAGATTGATGTGTGGTTGAATAGGATGAAAGTGGATTATGGTTTGGAACCAACTCTTGAGCATTATACATGTTTGGTGGGGGGAATGGCCCGTACTGGACAATTGGAGCGTGCAGAGAGGATAGCATTAACAATACCTTTTGAGCCAGATGCCGCAGTTTGGCGAGCTTTGCTATCTGCTTGTGCATACCATGGTGCGGTTGATAAAGCTCGGGTTATGGCTAGGAAGGTATTGGAATTAGAGCCTCACGATGATTCTGCTTTTGTTATTGTTGCTAATATGTTATCAGCTGCTGGAAGGTGGGATGATGTTGCGGAGTTGAGGAAAATGATGAAAGACAGGAGGGTGAAGAAGATAGGAGGGAGGAGCTGGATTGAGGTGCAAGGGAAAGTTCATGTTTTTGTGGCGGGGGATTGGAAGCATGAGAGATCAGTGGAGATTTATCAGAAGTTGGAAGAGCTGATGGGGGATATTGAGAAATTAGGATATATTCCAGTTTGGGATGAGTTGTTGCATAACGTTGGGGAAGAAAAGAGCAAAGAAGCTCTTTGGTATCACAGTGAGAAGTTGGCGGTTGCATTTGGAGTATTGTGTGGATCTATACCACCTGGTAAGGCATTAAGGATTGTGAAGAATTTGAGGATTTGTAAAGATTGTCATGAGGCTTTTAAGTATATGACTAGAGTTTTAGAAAGGGAAATTATTGTGAGGGATGTCAACAGATACCACAGATTTGTTAATGGTGATTGTACTTGTAGAGACATATGGTAGTATGTACTACTAATGAATAATGACAGTAAACATGTTTGAGGCTCATTTCCCATGACAAATGATGCTGGAAAAACAGAACTAGTTTTACGTCGTAATTGTAAGTCTTGTTTGTGTTGTTGTTTCTATCATTTGGTTTTTTTTGTTCACATTTGACCAATTTTTGGTTAAAATAAATTAAGATATATCATCGCAATCACCTTTTCTTGTGAGATAGTCTTGTAAGTGAACAGTGAATTTGAAAACTTCAGTTTATAAATCTCTTGCAATTGCTAACAAGGAGATGCATGAAATTATTTACAGGAGGTTCAAATAAGGAGCATAGGCGGCAATGTGGCACTATGCCCAAACTGCCTGAGGACTGATGGTCGCACAACATTCTCAAACTGATCAGGTGACTGAGTAATTTAGTGCCTATCTTAATTATTACTTGTCTGATGCATGGTATAAACTACTTGTCCTATTTCTTAATTGAATTTTATCTTGAATTTGAGAGGGTGTTTGGGAAATCTTACTTGGACTTATCTTATGGCTTAAAACATTTTTGTAAATGGTTCGAAAAGTTTATCAAAATAGTTTATGACATGCTCCTAAGCTATTTTCAGCTTATTTTAAAAAGCTCCCCAAACTAGTTTACAGAAACAACTTTTCCAAAGTTTGTGTGAAGTTACTCTTCATTCTTTCCTTGATTTTAAAAACAGTCTATACATAAATTCCTACACAATAAGCTTTCATATAAAGTAAGTGCTCAACTTAATTGTTAACCCAAATATTTCCTAAAAAATACAGAAAAACAGTGTAATATAGCAGGTTCTTTGAACTTTGAAGTCACTTAAATATTTGAATTACTCTACGGCTCTACCCAACAGTAGTCAGGACAGGAGCAGTTTACTGTGTGATTCTAGGCACATTTACCTAAAATGTCAGAGATCCGAACTTAGGAATACCCACTTTTGGAGGAGCTTTACCTAACCTCCAGTCTCGGTCTGAGGATTAATGCTATTATTATGTTTGTCGAGATATTTGGTCATAGACCCTAAAACAAACTCTCTTTGAGTATTTTAGTTATAACAGGTGACTTTATGCTTCTTTTAAATATTATTTTGTAAATTAATGTATGTCATGCTGTATTGGTGCAAGAAATTTGTAACTTTTTTGGCGCTTCTTTATAAGCATTTTTTTGAAATGATGAAATAAGAAACGTAAGTTTAATTCGGTGGTGGTTTTGCGTCCGTTGATCCATTTCCAGACTTCATTTGGTCATGTTAGGCTTAAGGGACCATTCCTGTTTCTACAGTCACAATTTATGTTCTGTATAATTTACTCTCCAACACTTAACTCATTGAGAAGAACAAATTAAAGAGCCCAATTTTTAAGGAAGCTAGTCAAGGAACATGATTTGGTAGAATTATATAAACAAAATGTCCATCATAGTTTCATGCTTAATATTAAATGTTTTGATCAGTTAGTCTTTTAGTTACTTACTTCTGTTATCATAGTTTTTTTAGTTTGTTGTGTTTCCTTTTCTGTTATCCACTTCCTTAGCAGCCCACTATACCAATTATAAAAGCCAATTGGTTTTATATTTTTTGTTCTGTTTTTCAATTCCTTATCATCTCATTATACTAATTATTATAAAAGGCAATTGATATTAATCAATAAACTCGAGTCATCATCTCTCTCTTTAATATAGTATATCAGAGAGCATTTATATCTTTAGCAGCTAACTCCATCTCTCTCTTTGATATGGTATGTCAGAGAGCATTTATATCTTTAACAGCTAACCCTACCTTACAGTTAACACATTATTATCGTACTCTCTCACTATCTCTTTCTGGGTATATAACAACATATATGATACTTTCTTGAGTTATAATGTTTAATGTATCTTTGACAACTTTCAGTTTGAAGATACAATAATTTGTTTAGTTTTCATCTTCTTTCAATCTGGTCTCAGCCATTTTCTTAGTAAATATATGTCTCTTTCTTTTCCGCCTTTATCTGTTATCCCCCCCCCCCCCCTCCCCCCCCCCTCCCCCCCCCCCTTCGTTTTGATTGTACGGTTGTTTTCACCAAACACTTAACTATTCTTTAAATGCAAATTTGGCAATTCGATTAGTGAATAATCACATGCCACTCCAGCCAACAACTTGTAGTTAGGTAAAGGATGATGAGATATTTATTGTTGTAATATCTAGTTTGATTTGTCAAATTTGTACAGTTGCATGTTATGATATCAAATACTGCCCACATACCAATTCATATCTGTTGCAATCCAATTTTTGACCCCTTAGATCATCATCATTTTAGGGTCATCTTCATTTGTTTATCTAACTTTAACCTATTTCAGAGTTTGTCTTTTTCAAGACATAGGTGAATCAGGGTTCCTTACAGTCAGAAATCGAGGTTTCAATGGTCTGACCAATCAATCTTGGATTGATTCTCCCTGGAACAAGTCTCTATATCATCAAAGGTACTACATTGGGTCAAGTATAAATCCAATTTGAGGTTGTCACCCAAAGACCGAGAACAGTGCAGTCCAGGACACCCGATTAGGGTTCCTCATCAGGAAAAGTCAACTATAGTTTGACTCTTGATTTAAAAGGTGTTCCAATGATGGAATCATGGTCCATGAAGCTCATATGGCTTAGCGAAGTCCACTCAAGAAGTCTCAAGACCTCAGAAGACCCAGAACATCAACCGTCGATCCGGTGGTTATCGATTGGTCGATTCGTTTGACTGAAAAGTCAACTATTTGACCAAAAGGAATTTGACCTCAAAGTTTGAAGGAAATATGTTTCTAATAACATATTACATCTAGTTATGAAGTTTTGTGACCATTGGATCAAGGATTGAGGAGTAATCGAAAAAGTCAGAAATTAGGTTTTGAAAAGGGTAAGACCATACCTTCCTAACCACACATCCAAATGAGATGGTTCAAAGCTTGTTGGAAAGGTCTTGGCAAGCCCTACAAAAGTGTAAAACTGACCTATGGGCAAAAAATGCATAAATTTGGAGTTATAGTCAAAATCATCACAAGAGGGAGAAAACACTTAATTTTTTATTTATTTAAGTTTTTGGCTTTTTTAGACATGTTTTCAGCCAACTTTGAGGGGTTTTTTGATCTAGTTCCACTTGGAATTTGAAAATTCAGTAAACATGAAAGTTGTAAAGCATAATGAGGGCTTTCTAAAAAGTACAAGAACTCTTCCATAGCCCTTGTGAGCTGAGAGTTTCGAATTGAACAAGTTGGGCCTAAACACTTGATTGTCATCATGTCAAAACTCAACATAAGCTTGATTTCTAACTATGTACTTCATTTCTAACCACGGAATGACCTCTGATATGATGTGTTAGAGGGAGAAATGAACTAAATCAGAAGAAGTTCCATCCATAATCCATTAGTTTAATGAAGGAAAGTACAAAAGGTAAACCATGAGAAAGAGTATTGATGGCTGCAGCATGGAGGGTGTCCTTGTGCACTTTAAGACCACTCCTCACAGCTCATTGCTAGCTGGTTTTAGAGGTCAATGCACTTTGGGAGCAAGCAAAACCAGCAAAGCAAACCATCACCTAGATTCATGAGATGTTTTCAATAAAACCACCTTGAATACCATTTGAGTAAATCTGCCCCAACCTTTCACTTGGCCCATAAATAGAGGATCCCTCTCACTCTATTCCACATACTAGAGCTCTCCAAAACACAAGAGAAACACAACTCTCATTCCATCACTCTTTGCTTGTAAGTGAAGAAAACCACAAAACCCCCCAAATTTGCCTCTTTGCAATTTTCACACCAACACCATTTCTAAACATTCCACCACCCTAAAAACCTTCCGCACACACATAAAATAACCATTTGAAGCTATTCCCACCATTAGTTTCATCAAAAGAACCATAAATCAAAATGTCAACTTTCCACACACCATACTTTGACTTTTGTGCAAATTTCACACCAAATCACTACTTAAATCATTTTCCATCATTGTGACACTTGGAACACTTCATATTCATGATATACTAGCTGTCTAAAGTCTCAAACAATAGTTGGAAGTGCATTCACTCAAACTGTCTATAAGATTGCATTGTTTCTTCAAGAAGAAGCAATATTCTCAAGCTTGCTCAAAGGAAGGAATCCTTGTTCTTGTTTAGCTTAAGTGTGGGAAGACTACAAGAGGTATGTCATTTTAAGTTTATTCACTAATATGCATCATGTATGTATTGATTGGCTTATGGTTTACACATTGTTATGATGAAATGGTTTGTTAACTATGCTGTCAAAAGTTGTGTGAGGTTTGGATTTGTCAATGCCATGTGTATTTGCTGTCATTAAGATAAGGTGTATATTGTTACTTTTGTGAAAGTATGTTGAATATAGGTTTGACATTGGTATGATGAGCTTATATTCTTGGACACCAAAATTGTTTTGAAATATGTCTACAAGAGAGGTTTGGGTTAGTTGCTTAATCCTAAACATTGTTATGTTTGGTGTCTATTATTTGTGAAGTTTAAATTGGATCTGTCTATCAAAACCTGTTTGCTTTTGTAACCGTCACTTAAAGAAGCTTAGGCTAGTTGGTTTGGTTCTGAACTTTGTCATGTTTGTTGTTTGAATTTGTTCAGTTTCTGCATTGATGCCACCAGTTGTGAACATGTCCTTTAGTTGGTGATTGTCAACTGTTTTGAGCATACAAATGTATTATGTATGCCCTTACCATGTATGTTTTAATGCCTTGAAAATCATGTTTGAAACCTGCCATGAATCACTTGTTAGCATCATAAGGTCTCAAGGTTTTAAATGTTCATGCCAGCATATCCTTTTTTGTTCCGTTGAAAACCAATTGTCATGGCTTGACAGCCTCACCATAACTCTTAGGATTTTTGCTAACTGTTTGTTTTAGAAATCCTTGAATGTGTTTGTCTTTGAATCTGTCCACACTATTTTGTTGCTTCTATTTTCCAAACAAAATAGCCTTGCTTGATTTATGTCATGAGTTATTGTG